TCTTTCCATCTCCCCCCACCTATCTGCAGAAGTGAAGCCCATCCCCTCATAGGAATGTCTAACATTGTGTTTCCTCTTATTATCTAGAACCAGAGCCTGTCTCTTTAGGGATGCCAACCTGGCCCTCTGTCTAATTTTGCTGTTATTTGTTCCTGGGACTTGCCAGGGTGATAGGAACAAATGCCCCTTCACTCCAGGTAGCACACTACCAAACAAAATAAACAACACCACCGAAGTCTAGACTAGTTCATCTGGGTCACTCGGGAGCGTGAGTGACTCAAAGGCAGCTGCATCACCCACCCCAGCACGGGTGACAAATCACCCATCCTGCATCCCAGGCGCTCTTTGCACAACTGAAAGGCCGCTTCACCTGAGTCCCATCTCCCCAGCATTTGTTACTGTTTTTATAGACTGGAGTGGGGGCGGGGGTGGCTTATGGATCCTGTAACTTTCTTTTTTTGTTGTTGTTTTTTTGTTTTGTTTTTTTGTTTTGTTTTTTTTTGGTTTTTGTTTGTTTGTTTGTTTGCTCTATAGACCAGGCTGGCTTTGAACTCACAGAGATCCACCTGGCTCTGCCTCCCGAGTGCTGGGATTAAAGGCGTGTGCCACCACTGCCCGGCTGTATCCTGTAACTTTCTAAGCTCCTTGAGCCTTGTTGATTTTATTACCCTCTTCGTCTCCTAAGTGCTCACCCTCTTCTCCCCAAACAGGGAAATGTTGCTGTTCAAAACAAACAAACAAATAAATAAACAAACAAACAAATGCACTGCCTGCTGTTAAGTGGCTGCTGCTGCTGCTGCTGCTGCTGCTGCTGCTGCTGCTGCTGCTGCTGCTGCTGCTTGATCTGTTCCTGAGTGCCGGGGAGCAGAGGGGCATTCCCTGAAGCCACCTGCTCTTCCCGACGACCCACCACCACTCCAACAAACTCTCGCCGCCCACTCACCACCAAATCTGAACTCACCAAGTAGTTAGTCCTTTATCAGATAAGGGCGGTAGGAGGGGACAGACACAAATATAAGTCAGGCAAAGATGGGACCCCGAGCAACACCTCCTCAGCCCAGAGGCTGGACACACTGTCTCGTGACCTCCCGATCCACCCAAGGTTCCCCCAGCCCTGCCTGCCCGGCAGAGGAGCTGCCAGGTACAGAAGCAGGGCAAGCTTAAAGCAGAGGCTTTCTTTCCCATAGCAGCAGCTGCCCGTGTGTGGCTCTCCTCCCTCTCTCCAGCCAGGCCAGGGATACAGAGTTTTAAAAGAGACCAGGAAAGTCTTTAGGGATGCACAGTGGGGAGGAACAGTGGCTGGGTAAGGTGTGCAGGCGTAACCGAGTGTCACTGAAGACACCATTTCCCAGTGCACTGTGAGACGTCAAGGCTCTTCGCTCCAGCCCTTTCTCCTCCCACCCAGCATGATCCCTCCTACCCCATCGCCCGGGCCACCCATGCATACGTGCGCGTGCGCGCACGCGCGCACACACACACACACACACACACAAACACACTCAGAGCACAGTCACTGACTCCAAATGGGCAGAAGCTGGTTAGGCTGCAACAAGAAAGCCTAATTACAGCCACTCAAAAGCGGCTAATCACTCATGCCTCATTACCAAGAAGCATAATGACCATGGTGCATGTAATTAGTTACATGTTTGATTAGCCTGACTGTAAGTTTCGTTTTGTGTCAATATTGAACTGTCCTGTGAGCTCCTGGTGACTATCGGCAGGGCTGGGGTTATGGGGAAGAGGAAGGAAGGCCTGCTCAGCAGCCACCCTTCGCCCTTCAGAGAACTGCCTCAGAGCAGGGGGCCATGCTGAATGGAACAGACCTACCCGGGGGGCCATGTGAGGTTCTGAAGACGCACGAAGCCAGGAAGACAGTTCCTTAGCGAGTATGGAGCAGGGAGGCAAGGTGGGCATGAGGCTGAGTACAGCCAGGGCACCTGGAGATCGCTGTGTGTTTAAAGGAGCTGGACGTGACATTGGACTCACAGGTTAAACGTCTCATTTGAAAAGGTTTGGGTATGGTAGTTGTGCCCCTGGGTGATCAAAGTTGGAGGAAACTCCCTAATAGCCAGAGTCAGAAAGCAGAAGCCACCAGCTTTCGTGGGTGCCTTGTGAGCCAGTCAAACAACAAAATACAAGTCATACAGGTTTTGACAGATGCAGCCACACAGATGGACCCTGAGGACATCATGCCGAGGGAAACAAGCCAGACACAGGACAGATACACAGTTCCTTGTCTTCACTCCTAGATGACGGCATGATGGTCCCGGCCCAGCGCTTGAAGCAGCAGGCACCACAAATCTGCCCGCTGCCCCACCCACTCTGCAGCTGAACGAGATCTCTGGGGAAGAAGCTAGGTGGGAAGACACAGAGGAGGCTGGGTGGAGATGAGGCAGGTCTCATCCTCCCGCTAGTGGGGATGCCAAGACTCTCCTGGATCTAGTCTGCTTAGATGCCTCTGAACTCACTCTACGTTTCGGCCTCAGGTTTGACTCGAAACCTGCAGACTCTGCTCTGGGCATGAACAGTTGCAACCATACCCCATTCTATATTACAGACCCCAACAAACACTGACACACTTTCTAAGGACTAAAGGCCATGTACCACCACCACTACCACCCCAACGCCATCTCAACATAGTAAAGCTTCCAGAACTGCTTTGATCCCAGCTGACACTGGTCACAGGCAGAGGCCACACGCCCTCCTTCCCCAGAGAGCAGCTACTTCAGGAAGCTCTCAGTTGCAAATCCCATCTCCCTTTGGAGTAGTTCTCTCGCCACCTGGAATGACCTCTCCTGTCTGGAAAGCCGTCTCTTTGCACTGTGGGCATACAGGAGCACATTCAGCTGCCCCTTTCAACCCTGTGGCCCCCTCACCTACACAACAGGCTCTACACAAACACAGCAGAAGCTTTCATCTGCTCAGATAAGCCCCAGACAACAGCCCACTCACCCCGCCTCACTTCAGCACACCACTTCCCTCTGCTCAGCCCACATGAACGGGCTTCCTCCTAAGCTACCTGACACACAGAACCAGGGTCCATCTTCATCACACAGAGATTTCCCAGGACCCACAATCCTTAAGATTCTGGATCTGGCTGGGCGGTGGTGGTGCACGCCTTTAATCCCAGCACTCGGAAGGCAGAGCCAGGTAGATCTCTGTGAGTTCGAGGCCAGCCTGGGCTACAGAGGGAGATCCAGGACAGGCACCAAAGCTACACAGAGAAACCCTGTCTCGAAAAACAAACAAACAAAAAATTCCAGATCTGGGTTTACTTTATTTCTTGTAACATTGCTCTTAAATTTGACTGGCACACAGTAGGCTTTTAAAGTTCTCCAGATGACTGAACGCCCTCGGCATTTATTTTACACCCACAGATGAGCAAAGGAAGAGGTAGACAGAAGCGACATGATCTCCAACCACCTCTACAGTGTCCCTCCACCCCTGGCCAAGGCAGACCAAGCAGTGCCCCAGCCGTGGGAAGCTGGCTCTGCAGGCCACAGGACTCCGAGTGGCCCACACAGGATCCAACTCCACAATGAAGCTCCCTCCGCGTTTACATTCATCACTGCCTTGGAGTGGGGCTGCACTTTTACCACTGGGAGGATATTAAGTTAACAGAACACATTAAGTGCTGGTGTAAATTAAAAGCCAAATCATTCTATAATCAAATAGTCATTATTCCAAAAGGAATTGCTCACTGGGAACACTTTCATGGGTATTTATTGCCCTATTATATTAGAGTGGGCTATCAAATAATAAAAAAATACATTATATTGATTAGAACCTAGCGCTGGATTCAGACAAAACTGCAGAGGTCCTGTGTATATTTTCACTCATCCTGTAATTTATTCCTCTCCCCTCTACTTTGGCTTTGCCCTGATCTGCAGGAACAGTTAAGGACACATAGATATATTGCCTTCTACAGAGAGTAACGCACAGAGGCTCGATGAGCCAAATTCGCAGTGGGCATTCTTCTCTGCTATTCACGTAGAAATGAACTATTGCTGTTTACGAAGCACCCCTGTTCTGGAGTTGGGAACATGCAGCCTCCAGCCATGGCCCAACGGGGAAGAAAGCATGAGCAGGCCACTGGGACTGTCACTGAGAGAGAGTGGGCCACGAGAAGTGAGGGTAGGAAAGGAACCACGGAAGGAGACAAAGGAAGAAAACAGAAAATGTGGAAGAAGAGAAGAAGACAGAGAATGGAACAGGAAATACGATTCCCAAGTCTGCCTAAAAAGAGAAAATCCTGGTGTCTAGAGAGACGGCCCAATCAGGAAAGTGCTGGCCATGTGGGCCTGATTTCAATCTCCAACATCCACGTCAAAAGCTGGGCATGGTGGCAAGCCCATGTAATGCCAGCAGTGGGGATGCCGAGACAGGGGGGTCTTTGGGGCTTGCTAACCAACCATCGTAACCTACTTGGCAACCCCCAGGTCCCATTGAGAGACCCTGCTTCAAAATAAAAATGTGGACGGCTCCTGAGGAACACCACCTCAGGACAATATCTGACCTCCGCATTCATCAGCACACATACATACATACACACATACATACATACACACATACATATATATACACATACATACA